GAAAGTCCTATTAGCTGCTCCTTGGGTTTTGCTGCATCTTGGGGAGCTGCTAGTGAGCATGTGTCTTTCCGCAGTGCAAAGGGCCTCTTGTTGCTCCCTGGGAAGCTGTAGAGCAGTGATCTCCACTTGCATGTGAGGCTTTGGGGGGTGACCACCCCCAAAATTTCTCCTGCCAAAACCCACAGCTCCAGCGGAGGCAAAAACTGCAAAAGAACTGGAGAGGGGGAGCCAAGCCAGGCCTCTCCTGATTCCTGGGCCTGAACTGCAGTTAGGCTCAGTTACCCATTTAGGCTAAGACACAAGAACTGCCACAGCCCCAACAAGGACCAGGCTCCTAAACCTGACCCACGCTTTACCAGGCTTTAATCTTGGTGGTTTGCTCCAGCGATTAATAACCCCCACAGTATTATGCCACCCTAAACCCAGGAAAACAAAGAGGGAGCAAAGAAAGGGAGAGGAGAGGAGTCCCAGACTCAGAGGCTCTCTCACTCCCTGTACCCGATTGTTCCCCTTCATGTTGGTTTCTCTGACTGGGGCCCTTCCTGGGGTTGCCCCCAGCCCTCCCAGCTCCCTCTTCCTATGTACTTGAGGTGACATCACCCCAAGTATCCAATCAGGGGCCACCAGGCTTCTAGGTTTTTTCCTGTTAACCAATTAAAAAAAAAAAAAGAACCCTGCCCAGTTAGTGAATTAGGCTAGGGGGTCTGCTTTCTCCCTGCTTACATGACAAGAAGCCAGGGTTTCTTGTTTGCAATAAACAGAAGGATGGGTTCTAGGAAAAGGTCTAAACAAAGGAGCTCTTGTAATGTCCTACATCCTGGCACGTTTCTTTTCAGCTTAAGAAACGGACAAGATACAGCAGAACAAACGCATGTTAAACCTGGTCGTATTCAAACTAAAACAGTATTTTACAGCAACATAAAACTAAAACGCTTTGCAGTATAATATAGTTATACATTTTGGGTGTGTTGCATGTATTTACATTAAAAGGAAGAATACTTGTAAGAAGACAGGGATGTTACTATTGCAGCATGTGCCGTTTTATTATTATTTCTCTAGGCCTTGTTTGTTCTAGGAAAATATCTATGTTAGGACTAATACCCTTTCCAATCATATGGTGTTAAGCACAATTTTGCTTTCATTGGGGACAGGGACCAATAGTTGGGAAATACATTTTTAAACAGACTGTCCTTTTCCATACTAAGGGCAAAATTGTTTTTAATGTTGTTTCTAACACAGTGTATGTATCCATTGTAGCCAGAGCCCTAATGTGTAAGCTGTTAAAAACAAACTACCTATGCATTATTTCCCCAACAGCAGTGAACCTTAAGCATTTAATCACATAAAATTTACCTTACTCTCCCATACACAGCAGTACTGCTTACCATGTTCTTGCGCTTGGGAAGTGTAAGAATACACTTTGTTAGAGAAGCTGGCATTAGCATTAACAAACACTTGAAAGTCTTATTTCTACTTTCTGAGATTAGTGGTTTCCCAGAAGGTTTATCAGTCTATGACAAATCTTAATGGTTATGGAGTATGATGATATTCAGTACTTAATATCATCAGATGCACATCTGAGGGTCAAGAGATAAATCCAGTTTGTCTTGCCACCAGAGTCTCGTTTTTAAAGTGTTTATTGCCAATAAAGTTTCTCAGTTACATATTAAAAGGGAAAAAGGTGAAGTCATGATATAGTTCACCAGAAGGGGTAGATCATTGTCAGTCCTCTGAAATTCATACTTAACTGTTGTTTTAGCCGTATTAGCAACCCTTCTTCAAGAACCTTGATGTAAGTCCTTTTTGGGAGGTGGAAAAATATTTCATTAGGTAATCATTTGTTTAATTGGAATTCTTTACATAAGTTCGCTAGTTTTTGGACATTTAAGAGTTTGACAACTCTTTAGCTGTTGCTGATTTGACCATATAGAGAGCTTCTGTCTACATCCTTCCTGAAAGTAACTTTGATAGAACTGTGTTGGAAGAAAATGTGGCTGGAGGGGTAGTACTTTACCATTTTAGTCTATTTCTTTGTGTCGCTTGTGACCCAAATTTAAGGTCTCATTGATCCTTAGTGTAAATTCATCAACCCCCCACCATGGACTTGTATTAGGGATGAATTTAACTCCTGGTTTCTTTATCAGTATAATTTATGGTGGGTTTGGTTTTTCACAGAAGGTGTTTCTTAGTTTACAAACTGTACCACACTCCTCAAAAGCTCTGTGTTTTCTGTCTTCAACTGATACTGAAAAACTGTGGGTATGATCAATATCAACATTGTGTATGTGTGTTTTATTTCAGATATATATATTGTGATGAAATTGACTTGGCTGCAGATACTGTTCTGGCCACACTCTATGCGGCCAAGAAGTACATCGTCCCTCACCTTGCCCGCGCATGCGTCAACTTCCTGGAGACGAGTCTCAGTGCAAAAAATGCCTGTGTGCTTCTCTCCCAGAGTTGCTTATTTGAGGAACCTGACCTAACCCAACGCTGCTGGGAAGTGATTGATGCCCAGGCAGAGCTGGCTTTGAAATCTGAGGGGTTCTGTGACATTGATTTCCAGACGTTGGAAAGCATCCTCCGCCGGGAAACTCTGAATGCCAAAGAAATTGTGGTTTTTGAAGCAGCCCTTAACTGGGCCGAAGTCGAGTGTCAGCGACAAGAGTTAACTGCTACCATAGAGAACAAACGCAAGGTCCTAGGGAAGGCACTCTACCTGATCCGCATCCCTACTATGGCACTTGACGACTTTGCAAATGGTGCTGCTCAGTCAGGAATCCTGACTCTCAACGAAACCAATGATATCTTCCTTTGGTATACGGCAGCCAAAAAGCCAGAGTTACAGTTTGTGAGCAAACCCAGGAAGGGCCTCGTTCCCCAGCGGTGCCATCGCTTCCAGTCTTGTGCTTACCGCAGCAACCAGTGGCGTTACCGCGGCCGGTGTGACAGCATCCAGTTTGCTGTTGACAAGAGGGTTTTTATTGCAGGCTTTGGACTGTACGGCTCCAGCTGCGGATCGGCAGAATACAGTGCAAAGATTGAACTCAAACGGCAGGGGGTTATTCTAGGACAGAACTTAAGCAAGTATTTTTCGGACGGCTCGAGTAACACTTTCCCTGTATGGTTTGAGTATCCCGTGCAGATCGAGCCCGACACCTTTTACACAGCAAGTGTCATTCTGGATGGTAATGAACTTAGTTATTTTGGACAAGAAGGAATGACAGAAGTTCAGTGCGGAAAAGTAACTGTGCAGTTCCAGTGCTCTTCAGACAGTACCAATGGCACCGGCGTGCAGGGGGGACAGATTCCAGAACTCATATTCTATGCCTGAGCAAAAGTGTCTTGGGACAGAGTTTGATGGGAAGTACGTGTCTGGTTCAGACCCATTGATGCTTGTAGCTTGTTATCTGCAGATATGTGACCAGTACAGGTAAAATGTCACTAAATGCTATGGACAGTTACTGCTTGCTGTACTTGTGGCTTGGATGATGAGGTTTAAATATACTTAAGTGTAAGTGGAAGCTGTTAAGAGCCTGTGTATGAGAGTTGGGTGTGCCTACACCCATGATTTCCAGCCTTGTTTGTTGGTGCACCCACGTTTGCAATAGACCAGGAGGTGAATGCTCTCCCTCATGTCTCTTAGGGACCATGCCCCAGCATGCTAAGTAATGTCTTTTTGGTCCGTTTTCTCCTCCTGTCGCCATTTTTTCCCATTTTTGTATTTCAGTTCTCAGTTGTTCATTTGTTTTTGCTCTTGTAGATTCCCACTCTCCAGAAGGCTCAGACAGAAGAGGGCTCCACTGGGCTGCTCGTGTTCTTGTCGCTGAGCCAAGAGCTGCCACAGAAGCAGAGATAAAGCAGTGCAGCTATGTAGATGTGAGATCCTTTGCTGGCCAACTTTACTAGGGGTAGCTGCAGGAGAAGAGGAAAAGGGTGGGTGACTGGTATACCCAGGGATGTAAGGCCACCTGAGCAATGGAGATGAAACTGGGCTCCAACAGTTTTTTTCCTACCAGCATCCCTTAGAGCTCATCTGCTTAAGTCAGGAAAATACTTGTGTACAAACCACCTGTATAGGCCAGGGGTTGGAAACCTTATGACCTGTGGGCAGGATCTTGCCCATAGAGTGGGGGCATTGCCCGTGCTGCTCCTGGGCACTTTGCCCATGCCATATCATGGCTGGGTGACGAGGGAAGCAGCCATGTGGAGAGTGACAGCAGCAGCATCTAGGTCCTAGCTACAACCCACCTTCAACCTGAACTGGATCTTTCCAGCCTGCTGCCAGAATACTTTGCTGACCCCTGGCATAGGTTGTTTTAAATATAGCTCATTTCACTACAGTCACAGAGTTGTTTTTTAAATCACTCTTATTTGAATAATTGCAAAATAACTGGGTGATGACATCTAGCATACAACAAGGTTAGATAAACTTAATATGTAATTGTTTCAAAATGTCCCAAAGCTATTTTGAGCGGGGATTTCCCCCCTACACTATGAAAGGAGGCTTTGGGTAATTATTGTATAGAAATGAAAGAATGTAATAGCCCCCAGTTCAATTTTCCTTTTCTGTAACATGAACTTTACTTTCCTATTGCCACACACAGTAACTCAGCTAATGGTTAGGTTGTAACAAAATTCCCAAGAGCGGACCAGATCTAATGGAGAGAACCAAAAGTTTTATACCAAGAGAGGAGCTTGTGGCTTTCCTCTTAGCTTTTTTATGTGTAATCTCTTGCAGTTAGGTTTTGTTTTAAATGTAGAATGGAGGATTCTGTGGTGCAGAAGTGGTTTTTTGTAGAAAGAAAACCTGATTGGCTTTTCAGACCTCCTGTGTTTTTTGCAGAAAAAGGCTCACTGCTGTTTAAGAGGGAAGAAAGTTTGTATACCTAAAAGATGCAGATGCTTTTTAAACTTGATGAAATAAAATGCACACAATGGAAAAGAAAATCCCTTGTCTCAGGATTCTGAAAGATGTGTGTAAGGAGGACAGTAGCAGGGCAATTTGCCCCACCTTTATTATACCTCTGAAATGTGGTATATTTATTTTCCATGTTTTAAGCTAAACAACAGGACAAAGGTAGGGTCCCTGCTGTATTATTTCAACACAATAATGGATCATAACACAACATTTAATCATCAGTTTTATTATAGCAGTGCTTTTCCCATATGCTTTCTTATCGCTTACCATTATTACACCAAGTGTTCTCTGACTGGAATCCTGGCCCCTGGCCATCTTAAAGAGCCAATATGTCTCAGTGTAGTCCAAAACATGTTCTAAAGTAATGAAAACTGGATTGAAGTAGCCTTCAAAAACTCCAGGGCTAACACCAGGCTCTTCTGTTATCCATAGATGATGAAAAGAAAAGCAAAGGGAAAATTACTCTGCAAGAACCGTTCTCTTCACTCACCTTAACAACTAACTCTATATACATATATATGATCACATTAATGTTCTTTCTGAAATGTAAATACCCTCAGAAGATATAGAAAACCAGACTCTTCGTGACGTCTGAGCAGAGAGGTTATATTATGTTAGTCTGGAGTCAGGCAGAAGGTAAGACAGGCTGGCACATTGGGTCTCCAAAATATGGATACTAAGGCTGCTCCAACGCACTGTAATTACAACAGATGAATTGAGTCTGCTGGAGCATGGTAATTACTGCACTACAGGAGACTGCAGTGTCATGTGTATCAGCGTACCCACGCTAGAAAATGGTGGTGGAGGCTCGTTTGACAAGCTTTAGTTAAAACGCCCCCACCACTATTTGGCATGGGGTTGCTGATATATTTGACGCTTCAGGTGCTTTAAATGGAGCATCTCCCAAAGCACCCCCCCCCCCCCCCCAGCATCCCAAAGTACACATTTAAACTGTTAGAGACTTAAGTGATTCAGAGAGGCATGAGCTGTCCCATTGTACTAGTTGGCACTAGGATTCTGCTCAGCTGTCCGGTCCTGGCATTACCTGTCAGCTATAAGTTCTTTCTTCCCTGAACCAGTTAATTCATAAAGCGCCACCCTGCCCAGCCTTCTGCTTGAGCAGAATGCTTCCCCTGAAAACACTTGCAAAGAGATTTTTAAACACCTCCAGTTTAAAAAAAAATAAAATAAAAAAATTTAGATCAGCAACCAAAAATAAACCCGTGACGTGGTGTTATGGATTGGGGGAACAGTTACTGAAGAAACAACAAAAGAGATTAAGATTTTGTCATGGGATAATGGCCCTCTATGTTTAGGTGATGTCTGAACAGAATTTGAATGTAGTTAAAATAAACTTTAAAACAGGAAGAAGCTGATAAGCTGCCCAAGTTTCCTTACAGCAAATGATTGACACAGAGGTCATGGATCTGTCTGAATGATGATTACATGGTAGACTGACAGTTGCTTATTGTAATATTAAATAGCTGCGTGTGCCTATCCCAGCATACTGTACTGGCACAGAGAAGCTGGTCTCTGACTGATTCCTGTGTTACTTATTTTTATTTGATTTTATTTTTATTTTTTACTTGTATGCAAGTAAAGGTTAGCCATCGACTAAACTGATTGGCTGGAACAGATAGTTATGGGACCATAATAGTGCATTGCTGTAATATGTAGGCAATGAGCTTTTATTTATTTCAGTTTTGACTCGTCTCTGACATACTTTTGACAGGGTAGAATGAAAGCTATCCTTGCCTAATTCCTCTGAGTCTGAGTTCCAGGTATTGTTAAGTTTTGAAGTTGGTAGCCATGTTCAGCATTTTCAAATATGGGTGAATAAATGTAAGCACCATATTTAGATACCTAAGTGGCCTAATCTTGAGAGTTTGGCACTATTGCAGTAAATAGAAGCTGTGAGTGCCAGTCACCTTTGATTATAAGGCTGCTTTGTTAGTTGCCTAAAATCTGGGCAGCTAACCTTAAAACACCCAAGTTTGAAAATGTTGATCTATGTATCAGAAGCACCAGTCACATCAGGCTGGAATATAAGCATAACTGACAAAGAAAACGTTTTGTAGATGTTATTTTAAATTGTACCCGGTAATGTTTGCTACTTGTACATTGATTTTTCTTGGCAAGGGGGTTGTAATGTAATATACTTTAAGCATATCTGAAATAGTATTTAAGTACATGTTCTAATTTCTACCTACTTATTGCACTGAACTGTTTTTCTTTTTTTAACTGTTGTGATGAACTCAGCTAATTTCAGGTCACGGCACGCAGTTGTGCTGGAACACTTTGACATTAGCAGACTTACAGCATTATTTATGAAGGACAGATATATAAATATGAAGTACCTCATGTTGAATGTTATTGTACTGTATCTTTAATGTAACAGTGCAGATCTTGTTAGACTCATGAATGTGTATAATCATGTTAAACATACCAATAAAACTGGTTCTTAAATACCTGTTTCCTGTAATACTTTGGTAGCATTTGTAGAAGACATAGAAAAATATCTTACATCGGCTATCCTTCTGAGCATTTTCCATTGTTCTAGGCAATTGTGTGGGAGCATTTGTTGAGCATAAGTATTCACAGATGTTTTGATCCCAAAAGAGGTAGAAGTCTGAGGCAAAAGCAAGGAAGAACAATGAATATGTTAATCAGTTGCATTGTTAAAAGGTTGATGACTGAGCTACTGAGATGGAGTGAATGAATGCATTTATATGCTTTATGAAAAGCTTTGTCTACCAGCAGTTTAATATTTTTAAATTTTTCTATTAATGTTATTGAGCTTGTGGAGGTGAAGGCAGGAGGGGATCATTCTGTTTATTCTAACAAGCAGTTTGGATTGGAAGGACCATTGCTTGCAATTCTTAATATACTGCAACAAAGCACAGAGAGAAGGTAGAAATATGCATGGTGGAAGGTGTTTGGAAAGAGGCAGCTCCCGGCTGAAATTTTTAAAGACATGTATCCAACTAATTACATCTCTACCTCGCTGAGTAGTCTGACTCTCCATCCTCTCATATAGCCATCTTTTTTTTCTCTTACTGAGTTGAGTCTCTGATTAATCTTTGGCAATTTTCTCTTTAAGAACTATGAAGATAAGTTTTCCCTTCCTGTCCTCAGTTTGTCATCTGTGGGTTTTAGATTCCATAGTGAGTGATCTAGCAGAAGAGTTGGGAAGTACTCCAAATTCAATCCAGAAAGGTTCAAAGTGACCTGCTCAATGGAATGGAAAAAAGAACCTTCTGTCCCAACTTGATCCTAAATGCAAATTTAAGTCAATTCCAGACATTCAGAGACATCAAACTAGTGACAGTTGTGATGATTTTAGAAAAAAACAATTACTTGCTGTTAGTCTACATACCATGTGCACACTGAAAAAAACTACCAAACCACACACTAGGCATCATAACCTGAATTACATAAAACCTGTCCTTCTCCAAGCATTTCCAGGGCATTACATTAGCTTTGAAAGCTGACTACTGAGGCCTTGTTCTATGCTAACCACTAGGCCTGTGCAAATAGGTAAGTATTCAATTTGGATTTGGCAGATTCGGAGGACAGCAATTTGATTTGGAGATTCAGATAAGTGTCTTGAATTGATTCGGTTGAATCAGCTTTGGAAGATTTGGCCCCAGTTCAGACAGATTCGGAGATTCGACCATAGATTTTATGCGGAATCACTTAAATACCTATAAATTTTTTTTGACTGATTTGCATACAGATTGCAGGAATGGTAGCCTCTCCTGAGGGCATGAGGCCTGCCAAGTTTCAAAGAGATAGGTGCAGGGTTGGTTTGTTTTTTTTGTTTTTTTGTTTTTTTGGGTTTTTTTTTTTTGAAACCACCTCAAGCTGCTGACAAGCAAAACTCGTGACATGGGTGACAGCGTGTGTGTGTTAAGGCGCACCCTCACTGGTGCTGGGGCCTCTACATGATATGGCAGTGTGCCCGAATGAGGTCTCCTCCTCCCCTACAGCCTCAGTTCAGTCCACCACTTTAAATAACAACAGGTAATAAACAGTGCACTACAGCACAGTAACACCAGCAGCATTTCAAGCAGCCAAATGGTCTCAGACTAGAGCCTTTCTTTCCTTTCCTGCAGAAGCTTCTTCTCCAGCAGCTGCCAGAGAGCTCTCCCTGTCAGCCCCAGCCTTGGTGCTTAGATGTGCCCAGGGCCCTGTGTCCTTCCAGTCAGCTGACCGGGGACAGGTGCTAGGGGTATTGATCTAAAGACATGGCACTGGTAGACAAGGTCCTTTGGGTCAATCTGTTTTCTTTTAGTAGACCGACTGACTAGTTAGAAAAGTATATCTTGGCAAGCTTTCAGGTGAAAAACCCTTCATCAGGCTGAGGAAGCACCTGCAGAGGGGGGGGATGTGTGTGTGTGTGCGTGCGTGCGTGCGTGCATGCACATGCACATGTGTGTGCTGTTCCTGGATGGAAGGGATAGTAAAGAAGCCAGAGGATGAAAGCCAGTCAGTGAAAATGGAAATGGAGATGTCACGGGATGAGGGATAGGCTGGGGTGGGGAAGGGAAGGGATATGTAGCAGATAAAAGTGGAGAGGTACCTGGGGAGTCAGACGTCCGGCAGGTTGTAGTGTGTCATAAATCTGATGTCAATATTGAGTCCCTGACTTTCTGTACCTAGGAGGCTAATGAAGTGAAGTTCATAGGCCCAGCTCTGAAAAGTAGTTTGTAAATTCAACCAAGCACCGAACCTTGCTAACCTCATCACCAGAAGCCAACTTCAGAAGCTCAAAACACAAAACCTGCCAACATAGCTCCAGTATTCCCACAAACTGCACACCAGAATCTATCAAAGACGGCAAAACCCAGCTACCTGTGGGGTCACATTCCTCACCACAAAAACACTCTTGTCTCCAGTCTCTCAGGCCTGATCCTGAGAGGTAACTTACAAACCCTTTCACAGCGGAGCCTATGAATTTCACTTCACCCATCACCGTGGCTTGAAGGACAGCCCACCAACAGCCTGACATTGCACCAGTGCCCTCTGAGGGACAGGTAGGCATGATCTCCACCCCAGCTGCTCCAAATGTCGTAGGTGAAGTGCAAGGCTACCTGCGGCACTGCCTTGCGCAGCTCCTCCCTCAAATACTCCCTGCATGCCTCATACAGGGGGGGCACTACCGTCCTGCTAAAGGTGGTGCATGCAGGTACTCGATAGGATGGAGCCACAAGCTCCATGGGCTGCCTGAACCCTGGCCGCTCAACTAAGGAGAAGAGCTGGCCATCCAGAGCAAACATCTCCCCAGTGCTTTGGGTTGGTGTTTCTCAACCCATGGTATGTGTATACCTGGGGGTATGCGAGATATGGGCAAGGGGTACGCGGGTGTTGCATTTTGGTCTTTGCCTGTTCAGGCTGGAAGTTCTGGCCACCGGCCCTCCCACCGTGTCCAATGCGCCGGGGCTTTCACTCCCCAGCATCAATGTGCTGGGGGATACTCAGGCTGCTTTGCCCTGGGCCACGGTGGAAAAAGTGGAACTCGGCTCATGGTGGCAAAACCAGAAGTGCCACAGTGGGACTTCTGGTTTTGCTTTTGCTGAGTCAATTGGCAAGGGGTACGTAAGGTACCAAAGGTTGAGAACCACTGCTCTGGGTGACCTTGCTCGCCCTTGCAATGCCCCCCCTTTGTCTGCAGCTTTCCTCCACTGCTCCAGGGTGGCCTGCCTCTGCTTTGTGGGGACAGGGGTTTTGGAGCAAGTGGGGGCCTTCCCTTTGGGCATGCTCCCACTGGTGCCAGGCTAAGGAGGAACAAGAGCAAGGGGGTGCTGCCTCCTGAGATGCAGCAGCCTTGCTGTGATGGTGAAGTGTTTCGCCTCCTTGCCCCGGCTGATCTGCCTTCGGCAGATAGCATACTTGGGATCATCTGTCACCTCAAAATGATCCTGCACTACGTTACTTCCCTGCTTCTGGGTTGAGGGTGGGGATCCTGCCTTATCCCCCTCCCCAGCAGGCAGAGGCACAACAACAGTAGGAGCTGACTCAGCTGAGCCACTGGCCTCCACAACCTCTTTTGAGGTGCCTTCCTGACTAGGAGACCTGGGTCTAGGGGAAATTTGAGGGGTGTGGAGCACAAACTCAGATTTCTCCTCGGTCCCCAGAATTTCTTTAGCTAGGGCACTTGGGTCCCCTGGTTCCAGATCCAGCTCCTCCTCTTGCAGTGGAAGGCTCATGCTGGAAGATGAAATTGGGGTGGAAGAGACTGTCATTCTGCTGCTGGTGCCTATTTCTGGAGTTAGGGGAGGTGGTGCAGGTGCAGAGACATGTACTGCTCCTACCCCCTTGCTTCCACTGGCAACAGAAGCTTCATGGCTGCTAGGAAAGAGGATGCATCTATGTTTGGAGGGGGGTGGCACTTGTAGCTCTAGCTCTCCATCTAGCTCCTCTACCTCCCCTGCCAGCAGACCTGGCACCTGCCTTTCTAGCATGCTTCATATTACTCTTTCCTGTGCTGGAAAATGTGCCTGTGTGTGTAACTAATAATATATGTCATCGTCTTCTTCTCTGATGTATGACTGTCTGACTTCTTCTGTGTTGTTTACTATTGTGTGTATAACTAAAATATCTCTTCTTCTATGACTCTATGAGTTCTGTGTTGTGTTAATCTGAATCTCTATCTGACTTCTTCTGTGTTGTCTTTAGTCTGTATGTAACTATAACTAATAATATTAATAGCTATATATAATCTCTTCTTCTATGACTGTCTGACTTCTTCTGTGTCATAATAATATTTGACTTCTTCTATGATGTGTGTGTGTGCATGTTTGTGTGTGTTAATGATTGTGCTTCCCTGCACAGTGATGGATCACACTGCCAGGGAAAACAGCTTTCTTTGTAAAAAGTGTTTGGGGGGGGGGATAAAAACAAAAACAAGAACAAATATAAATGGAAAGAAATGGATTGGATAGGGATAAGTAGAGGGATTCTAGTTAGTAAGCTATATCCAATCCTTTCCAAGAACAGAAAGTAGTAGGATACTGGCTAGGTAGGAAACCAAGTCAGTCCAGTACCTTTCAGACACTTGCTCAGGCAGAAACAGCTCACAAAAGGCACAGAAAGCCTGCAGACAGAGGCTTATATGCTGTTTCTATGTCCCTCTGCCAGAGCACTGTGATTAGAAGGGGATTTGGGGAAAGATCACAGTCACTGGCTAGCTACAGACCAGCTACTGGTCTTTCCCCACCCCCCTTCTCAGTTTCTGTTCCCCTGAAAGACTGCCTTCCAAATTTCCAAATCTTTTCTGAATTGACTTGGAGCCTCCGAATTGATTCGGAGGTTTTTTTCTTCTCCCGATTCAATTCAGATTCAGTGATTCGGCCTCTGAATCAGGCTGAATCTTCTACAAAAATAAATCATGGACCAAAGCTTTGCACACTCCTACTAATCACATCAGCATTTTGATACATATATATGATTTTTGTGTTATCAACTACTAACAAACCCAGGCCAGTTCTAACTGGATGTACTATCTTCATCAAAAACCAGAACAATCACTGCCAGCCAGCTTCAGCCTTTATTGAGATGACTAAGAACTGAAATAAATGAGCATAGAGAATATGTTCCCTTCTTCACCTTTGAGGTTCATTACTGAGA